ATATATATATATATATATATATAACTATCTCGTGTAACTTGAAAGAATTTATATGTGAATTTATATATATATGTGTATATATATGTATATTTCGATGTTTACTTTAAAGGAATCGTAGAGGAAGATGCCACGGAATGCCAGTAGAATATATTTTGTATTGTTAATAAGAGAGTCTACATCATGAAACGGTAGCATCAGTTTTCTGTTTGCCATGCGATATATAAGATGAGAACTAAAGGCTAACAGTACTAGCCATGCGAATATACTCTTTGACAATGACAAAATTTTGAACTTGTTGTAAAAATCATCAGGTACGTAGCCTATAAAAATAATTATTTTATTTTATCGTAATGTTGATCAATTGAATACTTAATTAACATATCGATTGAGAAATCTTTTTTTATTCTTTCTATATAATAAGATTGACAAATTTTTATCAATTATTCTTTTCACAAATGCGTTTTTATTTAATTTTTTTCTTTAATTTTATTATGCACCTCGCGCACTCATTATGGTGAACGAATAGAAGAAATGATCGCCTAGACTGAAATTTATAGAACCTCTTCTTTTGTGTTTAGGTTCGTCTGTCGGTACTTTCTGCAGAAAATAGCCGACGCAACTTAAAATGATGAACAGAAATACTGTATAAAACCACGTTTTCCATGAAAATAGCGTAAATACCCATGTATTCTTGAACTGCCATTCCGGTCGTACATAAATATGAAAACTAAAACATAAATTACTAAGATTATTGCTCGTATTTAATCAAAAACAAGTAATTTGAATTATGGCCAATAAATGAGCAAATATTTAAATGTAAATATAAATTCATATATTTTCAATCATACAATAATTCGTGACGAGACGTTTCGACCTAACTAATTGGTTTTTTTTAGTAGTCTATAACTAAAACATTAATTTATTAATAATAGTTAAATGATGTAAATAAAAATATTCTTTGCAAACATTTCAAACTCTTGATAAAAGCAAGAAAGAAATTATACTGTCTACTAATAATTTCAAAATGAGTCACGGATGAGCACTTCCATAATTATAATTTATTATTTAATTATTTATAATTGATTATAATTTATTATTTACTTATGCCTCTGTTGATGAGTATATGCTTACCTGCTTTTCCAAAGAGGCGTCGTATAATCTATGGTGTCCATGCGACTTAGATAGAATCCAGTTCTCAAGATTACCTGCTCTTCATTTCGCGCGAGCATGCCGACCATACCGTTTAGACTACCATTTTCCAATCTTTCACCGACATTTTGTTCGGTGGTTTTTATCGGAATGAGTCTGAGGATTGTAATACTTAGACTTAAGATCAACAAACTCTGTCGTAAACTGAACAAGTGCACAGTGCAACATCCCAAATGTGCTATAACGCAAAAAATTTTGTTGTTCAATACATTAGAAAATACAGCCTACAACTCAAAAACCTCTATTAAATGAAATTTTTTTTCATTCTCTTCCGCTCCACTGCAAAAAACCTCTAAAAATTGAAATGAAACCTATCTTAACTCGAATTATTTGTCAGTATTTAAATCATTTTACTTCTATAACAACTCAACAATTTAAAGTAGCCAGATCACTACAAATCGAAGTTCACCTTTATAAGTCGAACTTTTATTTTCACTGCCTCTGTAATTCGAAGTTGTAGCTATGAAAATCATAGAGTAATAGCCTGGTATTTTATTTTATGATTACATTTATTATATGTATGCAATAAATAATTCATTGTCAAATATTGATTTTTTTCCCTCTAAAAAGAATTTAATTCCTAATTATTATAATTGGAAAATTATAAAGTCTCGTACAAAGCCTCCGTAAGTTTAATTTTCGTATGTTAGCCCTCTTTTTCACTCGAATTTCGATAAGTTGAAAACTCTGTAATTCGAAGTGTTTTTCTGTTCTCTTAAAAGTTATCGAGATTCGACTGTATTAGTCTTTTTCGTTTCAACATACGTAAAATTGAGATAATCCGCGAGTAGATTCCACATGTCACCGGCATATCCCGTGACCTTTGTATCATTGTCGTAAAACATTATCATATTCTTTTCCTATAAGCATAAGGAATTAATGGTTATAATCGCTATTTAATTATAACACGTTAACAGTATTATATAAGCCTAATAAACTATTCCAAATGCTACTATAATTTATCATTAAACTCTTTGGGAAGCTTATAATCATCATATCTTGCAGAAAAAATTGTGTGTAGATCTTTTTATATACATAGAATCATGCGCGCTCGTGTTCGCACCTGGTGATACACAGCTTTCACTATTTCTCCCCTCATGTCCTGCATCTCCATCGCCCGGCGTTTAGACAGATTTTCCTCTTGAAGAGCGGCGAATTGCGGGATGCTAAACAATTGTACGAATTCCTGCTGTTGCTTGCTCCAGATTATCCCGTTCACCGCATAGCAGCGCCAGATTGCGAGCTGAAAAATCACGACCGTGAAAACGAATCGCGTAGTTGCCATCTCTTGCGAACTTCTATCGTTGGACTAATTCCGCGTCGATGATTTCATGTAAGATACAGGCGAATAAGAATGTTAGATTGCAGTTTCCACGCACATCGTAAAATAAGACTTATTATTTTTCTGTAATGGGTCAATATCGCGTATAATGGACAGGCGTCACGATATTGTTGTGAGGATCGATAGCATGTGGATATAGCGTGTGGATTAGTCATTTTTGCCAATCATAATATCAAGTAATATAATCGCATCTAATTTGCTAATGATTCTTATTAGTTGAAATCTTGAATAGAAATACTTAATTGCTTCGTCTGTCGATAAAAAGAAAAAAAATAATTCAAATAAATTTGAGAGCGCCTTCTACGGTCAAGGCTGGGGCTTGGTGCTTAATAAATTTCATATGAATCTTTAAGTTCATTATTCAGTTATTTATACTGCGTTCCAAATCAATGTCAGACTTACAACGCAATTATTACAGCTGAAGTTGGAATAACGAGGCCACAATTGAGCTTTAATTCTTAATTTGATACTTGTAAGCATCTTAAAATACACTGCGGAGAACTTAAAATAAATCATTATTTACATACCATTATCCTAAATTGTATCAAGATAATTGTTCGATGTATCTTTTGATTTTTTATAATTGTTTTTTGGTTGAAGTGCTTCCATTTTATTTCATATTATAAGCTTAAAAATATAAATATATAATTTGTTGAAAATGTTAAAAATATATTTAAGATATTTAAAAATAAACAAAAAAATTGAAATGTTAATATTATTCATTAATTAATCGTGTTTAATTAATATTTCTGTTACTTATTGAAATTTTAATTATTACAGGATTAATTATAATTTAACTATTAATTACAACATTGGTGATCTAAACACATGTAATAGAGTTTCCAAACGAGTTATAAGTAACAACTGGCAATTAAATTTTTAAAAAATAAATTTGTAATTATACACTGCTAGTATAAGCAAAAAATAGTTACGATGATTTGAGCTTATTATTACACAACTTTTCCGATTACGAAAATTACAGAAGCCATTAATATATTCCACAACATATTATTAACTTGATTCATTTCAATCACTTCCGCGGAGTCACGATTGTCATGTTGCTGGCATAAAGAAGGTGTTAATAATTAATAAATAGGGCGTGCCTTTTTTATTTATTTATAGCACATTGTTATTAAATAAAACAATTATTTAATTACAGCAAAAAAGGAAGGTAAGATTATAAAATACGTTCCAGCTAGAATTGGTATATATATTCTGTATTAAGTTTCAATTATATCTCGTATGTGTTCTTGTTAATTTAAAATATTAATGCTGCATCCATTGTCATGTGTAATAACGTATATTACTTTCTAGATTTTTAGACAATAATTCACAACATGATAAACAAAACCGATCCTAGAAGTTCGATCTTAGAGTTTTTAATTGAAACCGCATTGTGCACGCAAGGACTAGATGTACATATTAACATAAAATAACCTTTTTGCACAATTTACTGTCCAGTTCCACACGTTAATAGAAGACACGCCAAAAAATGCCGCAAACGTACAACTTTCGTAAAATTACAGTATACATATAAATTGTTTTAAATATTATTTATTTTATATTATATGTCATGATAAGATACAAAATATATTAC